ATTTCCACTGTTTTCAATTTTCAATCTCATTTCAATTTTCATTCCCACTTCCATTTCTACTTTTTTCAATTTTATTTCAATTTTCAATTTTTCCAATTTTCATTCCTATTTTCATTTTCTCTTTTTCCAATTTTCATTTCCACTTAGACTTTTTTAATTTTCCAAATGTAAGGGGAATAAAAATTAGAATACTTTTTCTAATTATGATTCTCATATCTATACTTTTTTCAATTTTTTTTCCCACTTCCACTTTTCTGATTTTTATTCCCATTTCCTCTCCATTTCCACTTCTACTTTTTTAAATATTTATTCCCAATTCCATTTACACTTCACCTTTTATAATTTTCATTTTCATTTCCACTTTCACTATTTACAATTTTTATTTCCACTTCCACTTATTCCAATCTTTTTTTCCCACTTCCACTTTTCTAATTTTCACTCCCATTTCCACTTTCTCCAATTTTCATTCCCACTTCCATTTCCACTGTTTTCAATTTTCAATGTCATTTCAATTTTCATTCCCACTTCCACTTTTTTTAATTTTCATTCTTCTTCTATTTCTAATTCCACTTATTCTAATTTTCCCAATGTAAGGGGAATAAAATTTAAAATTTTTTTTCTAATTTTCATTCTCATTTCCATTTCCACTTTTTCTAATTTTTTTCCCACTTCCATTTTTCTAATTTTCATTTCCATTTCCAATTTTCTCTTTTTTTTATTTTCATTTCCATTTTCAGATCTACTTCCTCCAATTTTTATTTCCACTTCCACTTTTTCTAATTTTCATTTCCACTTCGATTTTCACTTCTAATTTTTCCAATTTTTATTCCCCCTACATTGGGAAAATTAGAAAAAGTGGAAGTGGAAATCGATGAAGGAATAAAAATTAAGAAAAGGGAATGAAAATTGGATAAAGTGGAAATGGAAATGATAATGTAAATTGAAAAAAGTGGAAATGGAAATGAGATTGAAAATGTGAAAAAGTGAAAATGGAAATGAGATGAAAAATTAGAAAAAGTGGAAATGGAAATTAAATTACAAAATCGACACCTTTTTTTTAATTTTAATTTTTTTTTTTACTAATCTAACAAATGACAATCACAAAATCATCGAATTTTAAACACAAATTCGTAATTACTAGTAAAAAACATATGGAAAGTTTCCACAGTAGTTTTTTGAATTCTTTAATTTTGAAGAAGCTTTAGGAGTAAAAAAAACTATTATTTTTTGGTTTTTTTTAACAAAATTTTAACAGCTATCAAAATGCCAAGTTAGGAATTTCAACCTTTAATTCATAATCTGTGGAGTCGTTGATTACAAATTTATTGTCTGCTTTTAAAAATTCAAAATGTCGGATCCAATATGGCGGTCGAAAAAAATTTAAAATCACTTGGATTGAAATAAAATTTGTTACTCGGGGGTTTTTGGGGTCGCTGATTTCAAATCTGAAGTCAGAAATTAAAAATCCAAAATGGCGGATCCAATATGGCGGGCAAATTTTTAGAAAGTAATTGAATTTGCTTTAAAGTCATTACTCGGGGGTTTTTGAGGTCGCTGATTGCGAATTTGTAGTTAGTTTTCAAACATTCAAAATGGCGAATCCAATATGGCGGACGAATTTTTAAAAAGTGATTGAATTTGCTTGAAATTCGGGGTTTTTTTGGGTCGCTGATTGCGAATTTGTAGTTAGTTTTTAAATATTCAAAATGGCAAATCTAATATGGCGGACGTAAAATTTAAAATCTGTCGGATTTGTATAAAATTTGTTCCTCGGGGGTTTTTGGGGTCGCTGATTACGAATCTGAAATCAGATTTTAGAAATTCAAAATAGCGGATCCAATATGGTGGACGAATTTTTAAAAAGTGATTGACTTCTTTTGAAACTCGTTACTCGATGGTTTTTGTGGTCGCTGGATTACAAATCTAAAATCTGTTTTTGAAAATGGCGAATCCAATATGGCGGACGAAAAATTAAAAGTTACTTGGATTGAAACGAAATTCGTTACTCGGGTGTTTTTGTGGTCGCTGATTACGAAACAGATGTCAGATTTTCAAAATTCAAAATGGCGGATCCAATATGACGGTTGAAAAGATTCAAAATTCATAGAATCTGCAAATATAGTAAATGTAAAATTGAAAAATTAATCGTATTTGCTTCAAGTTTGTTACTGGGTTGTTTTATGGGTGGCTGATTATAAAAATTCAAGTAACAATTTTAAACCAAAATCTAAAATTTTACAAAATTTTTGACGCTTTATTGGAAAAATTATTAAAATTTTTGAAAATTACTTGTATAAATAAAAGTTTCTCCCAATAAAATGTATAATTAAACTAAAACATTTCAAAAAAAAAAACTAAAAGGACAAAAGTGGAAAAAAGTAAAGAAGAAGAGATAAAAATAAAAAAAAACCTATGTACTCTCTCTTGATAAACAGTCAACACTGCGTCATCCAATCAAATCGAGTACGTTGAGAGTTTAAGAATCGGTTTTCTCTTCTCTGGCATGCGGTCCATGGCGAAGGAAAATGTTATTGAGAATAGATAAGTGAGGTCGAGTTGAGAGAGAGAGAGAGAGAGAGAGAGAGAGAGAGAGAGAGAGAGAGAGAGAGAGAGAGAGAGAGAGAGAGAGAATTGGAGTTCGGTGGTTGAAAGAGAAGCTGGAGGAGTGAAAGAGAGGAGTAAAGGGAGGATATTCTGCAGTACACGCGGTTTGAGTTCATTGCGCGAGTCATCAGTATCCATAAGCGATGAGTTACCCCACGCTCGGCACCCTCCGAACTGCCTTGAAAGGTATCGGGTTGAGCTGGGTAGGTCGGGATGAAAAGGGAGAGGTGAGGTGGGAGGAGGGGGTGGTGAGGAAAAGGGTGAGTTCAGGGTGGGCACCTGGTTTGCTTGTTCGTCTCTTACCCTTCCAACTCTCTTACGAAAACGGGGGCGTGGGGGGGGGAGGGTGAGGTGGTAGCACTGCAAGCGGTCGTCGCTGAAGGACGAGAGAGCACAACCAAAGAGGGAAAGGGTGGTGGCTGATTTTCTTAGGTCAACGTATAATGAAGCCTTCGAGATGGGAGAAACGCGGACACCAAACTCACAACCCCCCCCCCATCCCTAGACCAATCCCCGGGCCGCCTTACTCTTGAGCCTCCCCCCTTCTCCTCAATGTCGAAAGCCAACCCCGAGGAAGCTTTTCAGAAAGTGTGTGTATATATAGATTCAACCAACCAAGTTTTGGTACCACTACATGGCGTCAGTGATGCCAACCTATATATATATATATATATATATATATATATATATATATATATATATATATATATGCTCTCAACGCCAACAACCCCCCGCCCCCCTTCACTATTCTAACGGTTTCTTAGGAAATTGTTGAAATTTTTGTTAAAATTTCTCAAAAGTTGATATAAAAATTAATTTGCTTAAGAAAGGGTGTTTTAATTATTTGAAATTTTGGTTGGAAAGTTTTTTTGTTAATGTAGAATTTTTTGGGGAGTTAATAATTAGGGGAAATTGGTATTTTGTTGAGTTTTTTTTGGCTTTGTTGTATTGTTGTTTTTTTGTTTTGTTTTCTTTTTCCTCTTCTTGTTATTGTTTTTCATGATTTTTTTGGATTTTTTCACTTGTTTTTCTTTTTCCACTTTATCTTTTTGAGATTGATATTCTATGTATTTATTTTCTTTATTTTTTTTCCTACTCAAACTTTGTTTTTTCTCCTCTTTTTCGTCTTCTTTTTTCTGTTCTTCTGGGCTTTTATTTTCTTTCCTTTTTTCTTCCTTCTCCTTTTCTTCTTGATCTCTTAAGCTTCCCTTTTCTTTATTTTATCCTCTTGTAACTTCATTTCTCCTTCTCCTTCTCCTTCTCCTTCTCCTTCTCCTTCTCCTTCTCCTTCTCCTTCTCCTTCTCCTTCTCCTTCTCCTTCTCCTTCTCCTACTCTTCTTCTTCTTCTTCTTGATCTCTTAAGCTTCCCTTTTCTTTATTTTTTCCTCTTGTAACTTCATTTCTCCTTCTCCTTCATCTTGATCTCCAAAGCTTCCATTTCCTTTATTTTTCTTCCTCTAACTTCATTTTCCCCTTTTCTCCTCTTCTTCTTCTTTATCTTCTAAGCTTTCATTTCCCTTATTTTTTCCTCCTTTAACTTCATTGTTCCTTCTCCTTCTCCTTTGCTTCATTTTGATCTTCTAATTTTCCATTTCCATTATTTTTTCCTCCTCTAAATTTATTTTTCTTTCTCTTTCTACTTCTCTTCTTCTCGATCTTTTAAACTTCTATTTCCTTAATTCCTTTTTTCTCTAACTTCATTTTTCCTTCTCCTCCTCGTCCTCTTCTATTTTTATCTCCAAAACTTTCATTTCCTCTATTTCTTCCTTCTTTGACTCCATTTTTCTTCCTCCTCCTTTTCTTCTTGACCTCTTAAGCTTCCTTTTTCTTTATTTTTCCTCATCTAACTTCATCTTTCCTTCTCCTTCTACTCTTCTTTCTGATCTTCTAAGCTTCCATTTCCATTATTTTTTCCTTCCCTACCTTCACTTTTCCTCATTCTCTTTGTCTTTTTCATGATCTTCTAATAATGATAGAATGATAGGAATAGAAAGAACCAATTACAAATGTCAAAGGAAAAACAAAAGATAGAGGGTGAAAAAAGAAGCAGAGAAAGAGGGAATAAAAAAGAAACAGATAAAGAAAAAGAAGAAAAGGAAGTAAGAAAAGGAGAGGAAGAAAAAATATATGTAGAAAAAAGAAGGAAGAGAGAAAAGTGAAAAAAGAGGGGAAGAGAGAAAAATATTTGTGGGAAAAGGAGAAAAAAGTAGGAAAGGAGAAGAGAAAAGAAGGAAGGGAGGTAAGTCAAAAAAGCCCAGGAAGAGAAAACAATATTTGTGAGTAGAATAGAAAAAATAAGGAAGGGGAGGAAGAGAGAGGAATTGGACAGTAGGAATTAAAAATGTGGTCATAAATAGAGGAAAAATAAAAAAAAGGAAATAAAAAAAAGGAAGGATATGAATGGGAAATGGGAAGTGAGAAAATATAACAACAAAATTAAAAAGTCAGAGATTGAAAAAGAGATAGAGGAAGAGGAGGAAGAAGAGGGAATTAAAGTAAAAGAGGAAGTGTAAATGAAAGTGTAAAGGGAAGTAGAGGGGAGAGTATAGGAGAAAGAGGTAGAGAAAGAGAAAGAGTAGGAAAAATCGGAAATATAAGAAAAAAAGGAAAGAATTAAATAATAAAAGGAAAGGCATGTGAAAAAAGATCAGAGAAAAGAAAGAGTCCAAAGATGAAAAAGAGGGAACAATAAAAAAATTTCTAAAGTTAAAGGAGAAAAAAATATAGAATGAGGAACACGAAGAGTAGTAGGTGATGAAAGAAAAACAGGAACAGATGAAGGAAGAGAAGAAGTAGAAAGTATACACGAATAAATGAAGAAAGACGAACAAGAGAAAGCAGAAGGGAGGATAGAAATAGAGGAAGTGAAGCAGGAAAAAGAGGAGAAGGAGTAGAAATGAAGGAGATAAAAATAGAAATAGTGAAAGAGAAGGAGAAAAAAAGAGAAATAGGAAAAGAAAAAGGGACAAGGGAATTAGGTAAGGAGAAGTAGTTAGAGGAGGATTAAAAAGGAAGAGGGATAAAAGTAGGATTAGAGAAAGTGGAATAGGAGGAGTAATTAGAGGATGATTAGGAGAGAAGGTAGATAAAGGTAATCATAGAGAAAGAGGAACAGGAAGAGGGTCAAGTAAAGGAGAAAACGAAACAGGAGAATAAAAAAGAACAGGAGAAGTAGGAAGGGAGAAGTAATTAGAAGAGGATAAGGAAGGGGAGCAGGTAGAGAAGGAGAAAAGGGAACAGGAGAAGGAAGAAGAATAAAAAATTAGAAAGGGAGGAGTAAAAAAAGGAGGATTAGGAAAAGGAGCAGGTAGAAGAGGAGTAAAGGGAACAGGAGAAGAAGAAAATCAGGTAGGGAGGATTAATTAAAGAAGGATTAGGAAGGAAGGGAGGTAATGGTAGGAATAGAGAAAGAGGAAAAGAAGGGCTAGGAAGGGATGAGTAGTTAGAAGAGGATTAGAAACGAAAAGAGATAAAGGTAGGAACAAAGAAAGAGGAACAGGAAGGGGAGCAAATAAAGGAAGAGAATCAGGAACAGGAGAAGGAAGAGAATTTAAAATGAATTTAGAAATAAAGGAAGAGGAGCAGAAAATGAAGAGAAACAGTAACAGCTGTAGGAAAAGGAAGGGTAGGAAGAGGAAGAAGAGGAAGAGGAGGTATAGGGCGAGGAGGACTAGAAAGAGGAGAAGGAGTAGGAGGAAATGAAACTAAAAATGGAATACGAAAAAAAATTACGAAAGTCAAAGGAGGACATTGAAAACTAAAGAAATAGAAAAGGGAAAAGAAGAAGACACAGGAGAAATAGGAGAATAAAAAAAATATCCAAAGGAAAAAGAGAATTAAAGACAAAACAAAAACAGAAAAAGATAAATAAAAAAAAAATTATCCCCCTTTTTCTCACGCAACTTTTCATTTTTCCATTTCTGTCTTCCCCACATGTTTTCTCACTATTTTCTTTTGATCTCTCCCGCTGCTCTACGGGAGTATACTTTTCGCAGCTCAGTTTGTATAGGCTCTTCTCGAAAAAGGTGCAGTGTACATATATATATATATATATATATATATATATATATATATATATATATATGATGCACACACATGTCTCTCTCTCTCCCCCCCTCTCTCTCTCTCTCTCTCTCTCTCTCTCTCTCTTTTTCCCTTTTAGAGAGATGGACTTCCACGTCCAAGAAGTGCGAGTGAAACTCAGCACGAAGCCGCGAGGGGATCAAATAAAGAAAGAAATTGTTAGTTCTCGCTGTTTTAAATTACCATTTATTACGACACATAAACCCGGCAGTCCTATACCAGTCGGCCATCTTGTTCTACCCCGTGAAAAGACGTATAGGGGGTGGGAGAGAAAGAGAGAGAAAGGGTATCTTTATATCTCATATACTGTATCCTTCTCTTTTTTTTCTCTGCTATATAACGTCGTTTATTCTTTTTTTTCATCCTCTTCTTGAATCCTATATACGCACTGCAGAAGAAGAAAAACCCATAATGATCATTACCTCCGGTATAGTGACAAGTGAGCTCACCGATCCTGCACAGGAAATGGTCACAGATAACGCTGTCACAACCATTTTTATATCATGACGAATAGATCATCTTCCGCTCCCTCAAAAAAAAAAGTTGAAGAAAATATTATTCTCATTCTCTTATTCGTTTGTCAAATATATATTTTATATATTCCGTTCAATCCCCCTGGACTAACGGGAGAGGGAGGATGGAATATTTTTTCACGATAAAAGGAGAGAATGAAAAATAATTGAAAAGAAGGAGAAGGAGGAGGAAAGGGGTAAAAAAAATTCCGGTGCATAATTAGAACAAAAAAGTAGATAAATATTTTTTTTTTTTTAATGAGGTGAGGGGGAGAATTTTGAGAAATTGAATTCCAATTTCCACATCCATTTCCAATTTTTTCTAATTTGTACTCCAATTCATCTTTTTTCAATTTCTATTACAATTTACATTTCTTGTTTTTCAAATTTTCCGTTCCATTTTCATTTTCACTTTTTTCATGTTCCATTCCCACTTAAATTTCCACCTCTACTGTTTACAATTTTCATTCTTATTTACACTTCTACTTTCTCAAATTTCAACTTTTTTATTTTTTATTCCCATTTCCACATTCTCCCATTTTTATTCCCATTTCCACTTTTCTAATTTTTATTTTTCACTTCCATTTCCACTTCATTTCATTTCCATTTCCACTTCCACTTTTTTTAATTTCCATTTCCACTTCTTTTATTTTTTATTCCCATATCCACATTCTTTAATTTTTATTTACACTTCCACTTTTCTAATTTTCATATCCACTTTCATTTCCACTTTATTGCATTTACATTCCCACCTCCACTTTTTCCAACTTATACTTCTATTTTCACTATTTTCAATTTCCACCTCCACAATTAACAATTTCCATTTCCATTTCTATTTCCACTTTTTGTTATTTTTCATTCCCAATTCCACATTATCACATTTTATTCCTATTTCCACTTTATTTCATTTACTTTTCCACTTACACTTTTTTCTAAATTTTACTCCGATTTCCACTTTTTCAAATATCCAATTCAAGATTTTCTAATTTCCATTCTTCTTCCACTTCCACTTTTCCGATTTCCATTCTTCCTTCAATTCCACTTCCAATTTTTCGACTTCCATTCTTCTTCCATTTCCACATTCACTTGTTCCAATTTCCATTCTCACTTCCATTGAAAAAGTGAGAAGTGAAGTAGGAATAGAAATTGGAAAAAATGGATGTGGAAATGGAAGCGAGAATTGGAAAAAGCAGAAGAAAAAGGAAAGTGGAAATGGAGATTGAAGAAAAAGGATATGAGAATAGAAGTGTAAATTGAAAGAAGTGGAAGTGGACAAGAAAGTAGGAGAATAAATTGGAAAAGTATAAGTACTGCTATGGAAAAGGCAGTGGAAATTAAAAAAAGTGGAAATTAGAAATTGAAGTAGGAATGGATGTGGGAATGGAAATTCGAAAAAATTAGAAGTGGAAATTGAAAATGAAAAGGGGATGCAGAAGAAAAAGAAGAATCAGAATGAGAAAAAAGAGAAGAAGGAGAAGGAGAAAGAGGAAATGGAAGCGATGAAGGAGAAAGAGGAAAAACAGAAGAAGGAGGAGGAGGAAAAAGGAAGAAGGAGAATGAGGGGGAAAATCAGCAGAAGGAGGAGGAAGAGGAAAAAGAGAACAAAGATGTGAAGGAAGAGGAGGAGAACAAGGAGAAGAAGAAGAAGAGAAAGGAGGAGGAGGAAAAGAAGGTTAAAAATGAGGAGAACAATAAAAAGTAGAAGGAGAAGGAGGAGATGAAGGAGAACAAGGAAAAGGTGAAGCAGAAGAATGCGAAGGCGATGAAAAATAAAAAAGTGAAGTGGAAGAAGAAGGAGGAAAACAAGGAGATGAAGGAAAACGAGGAGGAGGAGAAAAAAATGAAAAGGGAGAAGTGGAAGGAGTTGGATTAGAAGGTTGAGAAGGAGGAGATAAAGGAGATCGAAAAGAAGGAGAAGATGTAGGAGGAGGAGGGGTCAGAGGAGAAAAAGAAAGAGGAGAAGGAGGAGATGATGGAAAAGGAGAACAAAGAGAAGAAGGAGAAAGAAATTGGTAAAAAATAAAACAAATTCCAATGAAGAATTAAAAAAAAGTAAATAAATATATTTTTTTGTAGAAAGGAAAACTCAGAAATTGAAATTCCCTTGTGCCTTTTGTTGAATAAAAGTTCCTCTTTTCAAAAAACCTGATGATGAAAAGAGAAAATCAAGAAGAAGGTGAAAACGCTTAAAAATAACTCAAATTCCAGTGTCTAATTCCAAAAAAATTAAATAAATAAATTTTTTTCGAACTGTGTAAAACAAAAATTGAAATTCCCTTGTGGCGATTGAAACAGCAGTTGCTCTTTTCGAAGAACCTTAGAAGGGTAATAAAAAAAGGATAGAGAAAGAGGCCAAAATGCTCTCTAATACTCTCTTTGAAAAGGCAATACTCTCGTACCCAGTACTACCAGTTACGATGGCTTTTTTATCCCACCCCCTTCGACAAAATTCCCCCAACCTCTCTCCCCCTCTCTCTCTCTATCACTCTCATGGATATTCTCAAAAACCTATATGGACAGGGTACAGACCACTCTTTCATATATCGAGCGCACACAGCTCGTCTATGTGGAAATGCGATCACTTAGAAGCAGCCTCGAGTATAATTCGGGCCGCCTCGATTCTCTCACATATATATGTGAATCTCTGTTCGTATGTGTGGATCGTATATATATTTTTTTATTATTGGCTCTCTTTCCTTTGGCAAAAGGGGGTTGTGGGTGGAGGTTTCGATAGCTGACCACTCGATCTACCAGATCTGAAGCTTTCTTTTTCCCTTCTTTCATCATATATATATATATATATATATTTCACTATATATGTGTGATCTTGGTACCATCGTGTGTGTTTTCGCATTGCTCGTTTTATTGAGTGTGGACGCAGAAGCGATCCTCATGTTTTTACATCGAGGCAATTTTTCTATCTCGCCCCGTTGCCTCGGAGAACATCGCTTTTCGACCATCGGTTCGCTACTCTTTTCTCTACTTTCGTACGCCTCGATGCTTCTCGGCAATGTCCTAAAAAGAGAGAAAAAGAAAAAGAGTCTTATTCTCTCTTTTTCTCTCTCTCTCTCTTTTTGCACGACTGAAAACTCGAGAAGCTTTAACGACAAAATCATTCGGGATCAGCGCCCTCCACTTGACCATAAAAATATACTTTTCCCTCCCACAAAAAGCCAACTAAAATATGGCCAACTAAAAACTTTTATATCAAAAAATATTTTCACTGAACAACCCTTCTTAGATATATTTATCTTTTTTATTTTCTTAAATGTCGTTTTCTTTTTATTTATTTTTTATTTTCTTTTTCTTTATACTTTATTAATTCTTTTTGATGTACTTCCTTCTTTTTTGACTTTAACTTTTCCCTGCGCGAATCCCCACTATTTTCCATTTTCTTGTAGGTATTTTAACTAACCTAACCTTGTCAAAACTTGGGTTGGTTACACTTGGCATGGAATGACCGATCCCTGTCAAAATTTCTGAATCAGCGGCGGCGGCGGCGAAATCTTTTTATAATATAGAGTGATAATAATAAAAATTACTATTCTTTATTAATTAAATTTTCTAACTCTTTATAATCCTCTCATTCAAATTGAAAAAGAGGGCAAGTGTAAATGTACGAGAAAGGTAAATAGTAAAAAGATGGAAGAGAAGAGGAAAACTTAAGGGTAGAGGAAAAGAAAGTATTTGAAGAAGAGAAGGAGGAAAAAGAGGAAAAGGAGGAGAAGGAGGAAAAAGAAAAGGAGAAGAAGGAAAAGCAGATGGAGATGGGGGAGGAAAAGAAGAAAAAGAGAAGAAGGAGGAAAAGGTGAAGGCTAAGGAGAAAGTAAGAGAAAGAGAAGAAGGAGGTAAAGGTAATGGTTGAGGAGAAGAAGAAGGAGATAAAGGAGAAGGAGAAAAAAGAAAAAGAGAAGAACGAAAAGCAGAAAGAGATGTGGGAGGAGAAGGAGGAAAAGGTGGAAGCTAACGAGGAAGTAGGAGAAGAAGGGAAAAGAAAAGAAGGAGAAAAAGGTAAGGGTTGAGGAGAAGGAAGAAAAAGGAGAAGAAGAAGAAGATAAAGGAGAAGAATGAGGAAAAAGAAAAGAAAGGGGAAGGAGGAAAAGGTGAAGGTTAAGGAGAAAAAGAAGAAGAATGAGAAAGAAGGAGAAGGAGGAAAAGGTGAAGGTTAAGGAGAAAAAGAAGAAGGTAAAAGTTAAGGAGGAGTTTAAGGTTAAGGAAGGAGAAGAAGGGGGTGAAAGAGAAAAATCAAAATAAGGAGATGGAGGTAAAAAAAGAGAAGAGGATAAAAAGTAGTAAAAAGAGAAGAAGGAGAATAAGGAGGAAAAAGAGAAAAAGGTGAGGAAGGAGGAAAAAGTGAAGGTTAAGGAGAAAAAAGAGAAGGTAAATGTTAAGGAGGATATTAAAGTTAAGAAGAAGGATGAAAAAGAGAAAGATGAGAAGAACGAGATGGAGGAAAAAGAGAAGAAGGGGAAAAAGGAGAAAAATGTGAAGGTTAGGGTGAAAAAGGAGAAGGTAAATGTTAAGGAGGACGTTAAAGTTAAGAAGAAGGATGAAAAAGAGAAAGAGGAGAAGAAGAAGATGGAGGAAAAAGAGAAGAAGGGGAAAAAGGAGGAAAATGTGAAGGTTAGGGTGAAAAATTAAAGGTTAAGGTAAAGGAGGAAGTTAAGGTTAAGGAAGTAAAAGAAGGAGGAGAAAGAGAAGACGGAGGAGAAGGAGAAAGAGGAAAAAGGGAAGAAGGTAAATGTTAAGAAGAAGGAGGAATAATATAAGAAGGTGAAAGTTAAGGAGAAGGAGAAGAAGAAAGAGGAAAAGGTGAAGGAGAAGAAAGTAAAGGTTACGGAGAAAGAGAAGAAGGAAAAAAAGAAAAGGAGAAGAAGTAGGAGAATTTTTTTTGCAAATATGTAAAACAGAAAATTTCAATTAAAGAAGTAAAAATATTTAATGAAAAATTTTAATCAATTCCAAATATGTACTTGATTCCGTTTTTAATTTCCCTCAAACCAATAATAAAAATATTCCCCAAAAGTAAATATACGAATATCACAAAAACACTAACTCCAAAAACAACTTGTAAATATCCATTTTATACTTATATTTAATTAAAAAAATTTTTGCCTCAAAATTTGGAATAACGATACAAAATGTCTGGCGTCAGTTTCTTATTATACCTGGAGACAATATATTCTTTATGTCCATAAAAAGAAACTCACTGCGCGCATACCATTATAAATAAATTTAAAAATTGTCCCCAATTTGTTTTTTATCAAAAATGTGTAAATTCAAAAATGTCACGAGTTTTAATTTTTTCTTTTCTCCACGAATCATATACAAAAAACTCAAGTATAGAAAGGTTGAAGGTTGGAAAGGTGGGGAAAAGAAAAAAAGTTATGGTATCCATTCTTGGGAAGATTGTATGAAGGGAAATTCCTCGATTAACTGGCGCGCGGACGGAAGACGAAGAGGTGCGGTGGGATGCAAATGACGCGTTTAATAAAGTGTCGCGCTCAGCCGGCATTTGAATATTGTAGCATATTCACTTTTCTCATCGAGCAGATGCTATATATATATATATATATATATATGTATATATATATATATATATACATATATATATATATATATATATATATATATATATATATATATATATATATATATATATATATAGAGAGAGAGAGAGAGAGAGAGAGAGAGAGAGAGAGAGAGAGGGGGGGGGGGAGTTGGATATACACACTGGTGATGTTGATGTCTTTGGGCTGAGGCGCTAGTGGATAACTGGAGTTAAGGATGATGCGTTTCGTGGTATAGAAGGAGGGAGGGGGTGTACGAGGATTTGAAGGAAAGGTAAAGGAGAGGGGGGCAAGAGAGGATCAGGATATCCAACGGTACAGTCCGAGATGGCGAATCGCACCTTAGCTCATGCATGATTCAGTCGCAGTATCTCATTTCATCTGGTACCTTTTGCTAAACTATATCTCCTAATGGTAATGCTATTCTGCCGGCACACATATCTCTTTATATTACGTGGGCTGACTTGCTCCTCAACTTTTCACGTTTGCCACCTCCTAAAACCAATGAAAATCCCTTTCCCCCTTTAACTTCTCATATATATATATATATATATATAGTATTTCCCTCTTCTTTACCCTCGCACACACCCTTCTCATATCACTTTTTTTCCATTTCCCTTATCATTGTTTCTTTGAATGTTTTACTTCTTTTTTTTTGTTTGGTGATTTTTACTATGTGCGCAAGTGAAAATCACTTTCTTCCCTTGTTTTTTTAATGAGTTTGTTTTCTGCGGTGTTTTTTCTTCTTCTATTATACACTATATCATTTTTCTGGCTTATGTGTCCCTTCTCCTTCTTTTGTTACTCTTCATTTTCTTCTGTTTATTTTTTATTATTTTTGGTTCATTAATTTGTGCTATAATTTTCGTGTTTCTTATTTTACTCCTTCTCTCCATCTTTCAATTTTTGTACTTTCTATGTTAGGTGTATTCCTTACCTTTCTACTTCACTTCTTCCTCTTATACTCTTCGTGAAAATTTTTTTCTTTCTCTTTCTGTTTATCTTCAGTTTTCTAGTTTTTATTTTTTACTCCCCACTTTTAATATCACAATTTTTGCCTTTCAATTTTTACTTTTCACTTCCTACTGTCCACTTCCTAATTTCCACATTTCATATTCCAATTTCCACCTCCTTCTTGTTACATACCACTTTTTATTAACAAATTTCCACTTTTCATATCCAACTTTACAATTCACAATTTCCATTCTTACTGACAACTTTTCATATCCCTAATTTTACTTCCTAATTTCCACTTTTCATACCCGAGTTTCCATTTCCCGATTTCCATTTTTCATTTTTCCTATCCCACTTGTTTACTGCTTAATTTCCAATTTTTATATTCCACTTTCCAATTTCAACTTTCAAATTTTTACTTCCCGTTTTGGTATCCAAATTTTACTTCCTTATATTCTTTTTCCATATTCCATTTTCCACTTCTCAATTTCTACTTTTCATACCCTACTTTTTCCTTCCTAATTTCTATTTTTCATATCCTACTTTCTACATCCTAATTTTCACTTTTCGTATCCCAATTTTTACATCCTAATTTCCACTTTCCATATTCCATTTTCCATTTTCCTTTTTCAAATTTTCATTTTACATAACCCAAATTCCACCTTTTACTTCCCACTTTTCATATCCTACTTTTAAATTCATACTTTCCGCTTACCATATCCCATTTTCCAATTCCCATTTTCCACTTTCCATATCCTATTTTCCAATTTTCATATCTTACCTTTTTTTATTTCCTAATTTCCATTTTTACTTCCTACTTTTAATAACCGACTTCAATATTTCCACTTTTCACTTCCCAGTTTTCAAATTTTTACTCCCATTTCCATTTTTTTAATTTCCATTTCCAGATTTCCCGTTTTCCATTCTCAGTACGATTTACTCTTTCATTTTTTAAATTTTTAGTCTTACTTCTATTTCCACTTTTTGCAACGTTTACTCCCATTTCCACTTATCACCTTCTACTGAAAATTTTCCACTTCTCATATTCTACCTTCCATTTTCTTTTTCCACATCCCACTTCATTTTTCAATCAATATTTACTTGTGATAACCCTTTGTAGGTATTTTACTAAAATTGGAGATAGAAAGTTGGAAATGGAAATTGGCAAGTGGAATGTGAAAAGTTAGAATTGAAAAGTAGGAATTAGGAGGTAGAAAGTAGGATAGGAAAAGTGGATAATGGGGATGTAGGATATGAAAATTGGGAAGTTAAAAATGGAAATTTGGAACGGGAAAGTTGGATATGAAAAGTGGAAATTGGGAGGTGGAAAATAAGATTTGAGAAGTGAAATTTAAAAAGCGAAAATTGGGGCATGGAAACCGGAAATTTGGAAGTAAAAAGTAAGATATAAAAGGTTAAAAATGAAAATTGGAATATGAAATGTAGAAATTAAGAAGTAAGAAGTAGGATATCAAAAATGGAAATTGTGAAGTGGAAATGGGATTTTGAAAGTTGGAATTATTAAGTAAAAATGGAATATGAAAAATGAGGAAGTAGAAGGTGGAAAGATGGATATGAAAATTAAAATTGAAAAATGATATGGAAAGTGGAAAGTATGAATTAAAAAGTGGAATACGAAAAGTGGAATGTGGGATATGAAAAGTGGAAATTGGAATATGGAAAATTGAAAATGGAATATGGAAATGGAATATGGAAAATGGAAAATGGAATATGGAAAATGGAAATTAGGAATTGAAAATTAGGATCCAAAAAGTGAAAATTGAGATGTGGAAAGTAGGATTTGATAAATAGAAATTAGGAAGGACAAAATGGGATATGAAAAGTAGAAATTTGATATGGAAATTAGGAAGTTAAAGGTGGAATATGTAATGTAGAAACAGTAAATTTCTCTTTTCCATACTAATTCGACGCTAAGTGAGTGTCATCGTTATTTTAGACCCTAAAAAAGCCTCTCCTTTTTCATAATAAATTCAACACTAAATGAAAAAGCATCCTTTTCCTCGTAATTTAAAAAAAAACAGAAATACCATATCGAATTTTTTTCTTCCTCTCTATTTATTTTCAATTTTCACTTGTCTATTTTCTGATTTCTGTTCTTGCATAAAGAATTCCTTAAATTTTCCATTTCAGTTTCCTCTATGATTTTTCAGCTTTTGCCAGTGGATTTGTGAAAAAAGAAAAATTGCACCTGCAGCAATGGAGGGTGCACCAAAAAAAAAAAAAAAATAACAGTTTGAATTTGAAGAAGAAGAAGAAGAAGTAAAAGGGGTGAAGGCGGGCGTCCTTCACAACGCTGGAGGTGGTTTTCTACTATAACAGTGAGATGATGGTGGGAGCACTTATGCATTTATGCATTCGTATTTCCGCGGTCTCCCAGCACACCGAAGCGGCTGTAAGAAGTCGTCGCCGTCTTGGGTCGTCTCCCGCACCAAAGTATAACGGTACCGAAAAGCCTCTCTTTCTCTCTCTCTCTCTCTCGTTCTCTTTTTCTCTCTTTCTCCTATATATATATAGAGAGAGAAAACGAGGAAGGGAGAGGAGAGGATTTCAGTATAGTGGGAGAGCAAAAGTTGCTCTGGAATAATAATACACGTCGCGGCTCTCGCTCTAGCGAAGGGAAAAAAAAAATCTGAATACATGAAACGTAATGACGAGCCGAGGGTAAGCGGCTTGCCTCGCTTTTGCCTCTCTTGGTTCGCCAACATCCCACGTGGATGCAACCAACACAAATATATACATACAAACACACACACTTATATATAAAGCACCGGGTAGATCAACTCGAAACATCGAGTTCGGAATCTATGATGTCCAAAAGATTTCTCTCTCATACATATATATATATATATATATATATACACACAATCTCGACGCTCTGAATCTTCGATCGATTTATCGACATGTCTGAAATATTAACGAGCACGCGGGAAAAGATGAGTCTTTCAAAGATAATGATGGAGGTGATAGTGAAAAATGGGTTACGAAAGTTTGCGGTAGCTATAAGGATTGAAGAGAATTACAAGAGAGAGAGAGAGAAGAAAAAACCGAGCTCGGGGAATATTATTATTATTATATAGATACTAGGGGGGCTATGACCCCCTGCCAATCCCCATTATTTTCCATTTTAATATGCTTAATTTTTTAACGGCTTGCAAGCATTAAAATTATTAAAAATTTTTTAGTAATTTTGAGGTTATGTTCATTTCTTGGTTAGGGGAATTTAAGGTTTTGTTTGTTGAACATTGCCTCATAATCAAAGGTGCCTTGACCTATGTCATTGAATTTTGAGGTTATGTTTGATCTACGATCTTGGATTTTGAGATTATATTTAACCTCTATGTCCTTAAATTTTGAGGCTATGTTTGACTTATGATCTCGAATTTTGAGGTTATGTTTGACCTACGATCTTGAATTTTGAGATTATGTTTGAACTATAAGGCCTTGAATTGTGGCAATCTATGACCTTAAATTTTCAGGTTATGTTTGACCTATGGCCTGGAATTTTAAGGTTATGTTTGAACTAAGGCCTTGAATCCTGGAAACCTGTGCCCTTGAATTTTGAGGTTAGGTTTGATCTATGACCTTAATTCTTGGAGACCTAGGACGTTGAATTTTGAGGTTATTTTTGAACTAAGGAAATCTTGAAAACTTGAACCTCCATTTCGACTTTTTTTCAATTCCACTCACATTTCTATTTCCACTTCTACTTTTCCTCATTTCTCAAAAGTGGAAGTGGAAATGAGAAAAAGTGGAAGTTAAAATAGAAGTAGTAATGGAGATTAGAAAAAGTAGACGTGTAAGTAGAAATTATAGAAAAAGTGGAAGAGGGAGTGATAATTAAAGTGGAAATGGAAATGGGAATTAAAATTAGAATCAGTGAAAGTGGAAGTGGAAATTTTAAAAAGTGGAAATGGAAATGAAAATTAGAAAAAGTGGGAGTGAAAATGAGTAAAAATGGAAATTGTAGAGGAAAAGTGGAGTAGGAATTAAAATAAAAAATAGTGAAAGTGGGAGTGGAAATGAGAAGAAGTCGAAATGAAAATGGAAATGGAAATTAGAAAAAGTGGGAATAAAAATAGAAGTGGGAATAAGAAAAAGTGTAAGTGGGAATGGATGTTAGAAATAGTGGATATGGAACTGGAAAGGAAAATGAAAATTAGAAGTAAAAATGAGAATGAAAATTAGAAAAAGTGGGAGTGGAAATGAGCAAAAGGGGAAATCAAAGTGGAAATGGGATGTGGGAATTAAAATTAGAAATAGTAGAGGTGGAAATGAAAGTGGGAAGGGAAATGAAAATTAGAAGTGGAAATGGAAATGAAAATTAGAAATAGTGGAAGTGAAAAATGAAAGTGGGAAGGGAAATGAAAATTAGAAGTGGAAGTGAAAATGAAAATTAGAAAAAGTAGAAATGAGAAAAATTGAAATTGGAATGAAAATTGGAAAAAGTGGAAATTGAAGTGGGAATTAAAATTAGAAATAGTGAAAGTGGGTGTGGAAATGAAAAATAGTGGAAATATAAATGGGAGTGGAAATTAGAAATGTTTAAATAAAAATTAGAGTGTAAATGAGAAAAAGTGTAAGTGGGAATGAAAATTAGAAATTGTGGTAGTGGAAATTAAAGTGGAATTGGAAGTGAGAATTAAAATTAGAAATAATGGGAATGAAAATTAGAAATTGTGGAAATGAAAAAAAGTGGAAATGTGAATAAAAATTTTAAAAAATTGGCAGTGGAAATTAGTGGTAGTGGGAATTAAATTTAGAAACAGTGGAAGTGGAAATGGAAGTTGGAAGGGAAATGAAAATTAGAAAAAGTGGAAATGGGAGTGGGAATTAAAATGAAAAATAGTGGAAGTTGGTATATAGAAATGAGAAATAGTGGAAATAAAAATGGAAGTGGAAATTAGAAAATGTGGAAATAAAAATTGGAGTTGAAATGAGAATTAGTGTAAGTGGGAATGAAAATTAGAAATAGTGTAAGTTGTGAAGGGTGAAAGTGGAAATGAAATGGACAAAATAATGAATTCAACGCTATAAGTAAGAGTGAAAAAACAAAATCCCCCACCCCCCCAACAAATCACAAAAGAATTAAACATTCAATTACATAAATAATTTCCAAATGACAACTCAATATCAACGAAAAAGATAAAAACAATTTTCAAACGATGAAAGATTGTTTAAAAATTGAGCAAAGAAGGAAGGAAGGAAGGAAGGAAGGAAAGGAAGGAAGGATAGATATATAGATAAAATGGAAGGGCGCCGTCGTCGTAAGAGACCTGCACCGTGGCTCCGCCTATCGGCGCGCCGCCTCGCGGTGGTGAATACATTTAGCCTGGTTAGTTTACAAATGAATACAGCGATTGAAGCAACTTATAATATCAATGTAACCTGCTGGTGTCTCACTTGCACGAATGGAACAACCCCTCAGCAACCGTCTCACTTTCACCTAGATATGTATATCTATATATATATAGTATATATAATATATATATATAGACTCTCTCTCTCACTGGGTTTTGCCTCCATACAGAATGGCCATATTAACTTGATAATTAGCTTGGTTATACGACTTGCAGATGAGGAAAGACTCCGGGACGGACGTCGGCTACCCCTACACATCCAGGGTGGGGTTGCCAGTGTTCCTTTAACTCCTCGACTATCCTATGCTACACGGCAAAAGGCTCTCTCCTTTCTCCTCTTCGTCGTATACGTATTGGAATATATATATATATAGAAAACCCTTAGTTCGTATTTCCTCTCCCTGTTCTTTACCAGGAATCCGAGGTCGTCGTCGTCGTCATCGTCGACGATTTCAAGTCTCTCTATACTTTTAGAATCCCTTTGGACGTCTTTATCTCTCTCTCTCTCACTCTCTTTCTCTCTCATTCACCCGCGCCAAGAATTTTATCCCGCGTCGCGCGAATACAACGTGGTTCACGTCTCCTTCGGCCCCCTTTTCGTGTGCTCCGCGGTATAATTCGTCTGGTAACTTACCATTTTAAATTCGCTAGCTCGCCATCGTCATGGTGCTTCATTCTTCTCGTGTCTGTGCCGCGATCAAGACGAAAAATGAAAATCGTGAATTTTTCCCCGCGTTTCTATTTTGTTATTACTTTTTTTTCCCACTTCTCCAAGAAAAAATGGAGTAAAAAAAAAAAAAAACAATTATCACGTGACGTGCGAGCATTGAAAAAAAAAAAGAATCAGAGGTGATGGGCGAAAATTGAAAAAATATATACCACGTGACCAACGAGCATTGAAAAAAGTACCATGTGACCGGCGAGCAATGAAAAAATGGAACCACGTGACTTGCGAGCATTGAGAAGTATAGTACCACGTGACGTGCGCGAGCATTGAAAAAAATACCCCATAATTGACGAGCATAGAAAAAAATGATGTGCGAGCATAGAAGAAAGTACCACGTGATGGGCGAGCATAGAAAAAAATACCACGTGATGGGCGAACATAGAAAAAAGTATATCACGCAATGGGCGAGCATTTGAAGAAATACCACTTGACATACCATCATTAAAAATAAAATACCACGTGACAGGCGAGCATTGACAAAAAAAAAAATAAAAAAATACCAAATAATGGACGAGCATGCGGAAAATAGTACCACGTGACGTGCCATCATCAAAAAAAAATATATATATATATATATACCACGTGACGTGTGAGCTTAGGAAAAAAGTATACCACGTGACCTCTACGATCATTAAAAAATATCATTGGATGGACGAGTATAGAAAAAAAAAGACCACTTGACGTACCATCATGGAAAAGAAAATACCACACATGATTTGGCGAGCATTGAAAAAATATATACCACGTGGTATAGGCGAGCATATCGGAAAAAAAAGTACGTGCGAGCATGGGAAAAAAATACTACCTAACCTACAATCATTGAAAAAATATCATTAGATGGTCGAGCATAGAAAAAGAATACGACATAATAGACGAGCATAGAAAAAAGTAGGACGAGCATTGAAAAGAAAAAAAATTATCACGTGATATAGGCGAGCATGGAGAAAAAAATATTACGTGACCTACGATCATTGAAAAAATACCATATATATATATATGGAATCGACGAGCATAGAAAAAGAATGATATAGAGACGATGAGTATAGAAAAAATGTACCACGTGACGGACGAGTATAAAAAAAATATC